TATATATATATATATATATATATATATATATATGCATACACATACTCCCTTAAGAAGCAAGATGCTAGCTCAGCTCTCCTAACACCCTCCAATCAGCTATCTCTACGATTCCAAGAAGAATCGACTCAAACAATATTCTAGGACATTCATAAAGAAGACTAAGTCCTCAAGCAGCAGCCGAAAAAACATGGAAGATGTTCGAAGACTTTTGTGGACGATTAATGCAAGAAAGGCGAATCGAATGCAAGAAGTTCTTGGATCCGCACAGTAGATGTGATGACGAGTCATGTGAATGTAAATAAAACAAAGGAAATGTACTTATATATATCCAGTAAGGGACATAGAAGGGAAAGAGAAAAAAGACAAGGACAGCAGTGGTTTGCTGCCCTATCTCGGTTGGCCTCAGGGTAAACAGTGCTGCACGGTGGCCATTCTATGGTACTTCCTCAATCAATATTGATTTTCTTCATTGATAAACTTACACGAGGTTGTTGCACAAACTCTTCATTGGACTAACGCTTCAACGTCCTTCCCTTCTTCGGATACGACGTTCTAGGTAGATCCATACACAGCCAATCGTCTTCACAATGTAGGTCGTCGAAGCTGTACAGAGTCGAATCTTCTGCAGTGAAACACCGATCGAATGAAGTAACCACACTTGACAGTGTTCTTTCATATAGAACGCTTGCTGAAGCTGATTGTCTGCTGGTAATCGCTTGTTTTGCTCAAACGGTGTTCCACTTTATAGGACTTGATGCCATCACGAAGATCCACAACGGAAGAAGAAACACCTGTGGACAATCTACTAGGATCATTCCTGCTCAGAGAAAGGCGAAGGTGCCTATACGTTATCCGAATAAATTATTTTATCTACCTCGTGTTGGTCTATCAAAGAGAGGGTGTATCATCAGTTATGCCGAGGTTAAAGGAAAGTCGTTTTTTAATACCTCTCAACATTTGATAAGTTAGAATTAGAACTAGAAATAGGATGATCAGATGCCCTTCTTCACACCGGCATGTTTACTCTGTATGTATGTTCAAGATTCCATGTCGCACCTTTAGAAGCCACGTAGGAAGCCATAGCGATCATTCTTACATGCAACCAAGGCCACATAATGGCAAATAAGTAGTACGCACCTAGATGATATATAGTCGTAAATACGTACCAGAAACGACCGCGTACACACTGCGACAAAAGTGGATCTGTAGTTTAGCTACGTGTATCTCCTAAGTAAGGACTTTTATGCTCTTTTCTTTTCCATGACCCGGCTTTCACATTTACTTTGCGGGTCTCAACACTTCTCACATTCGATTCGTTTCCCCCTATCCATCATTCACGAAGACCTTCCAAGTTTTTACATGTGATTTCGGCTACTGCTTGAGAATTTCCCTTTCATTTCGAATGTTGTCGAATGCTGGTCGAGTCTATTCTCCCTGGAGTCCTAAGATACACGGGCTCTAGCGTTCTCATTTGGATTAACGAGCGTAATTTCTTCCCCAACAAGTCCGGTACCAACTCTCCGGTCCCTGAGGCGAGAGAGGCTTTGGTGGACCTTGGGCGGGATCGAACCAGCACCGTGCTGATGAGGATAGGCATCACTACCACTGTGCCAACTACCCCTTTCGCTTCAAGGCACCTAAACTAGTAATGCGAGGACCTCGTAAAAAATCAGCTATTCCTCTGTGCTCATCGAGCTAAGAAAGCCCTCTGACGTGCAAATGAGAGGAGATTCTATAGGTTCCTGCTCGATTCCTTGAAGTATTTCAGCAAAGGGATTTGAAATTGACGTAACGACAGAGATCCTCGAATGAACCCCTCTTCACTAGTAACTAAAAAAAGAACTTTAACTTTGTTGGAAGGATCGATTGCCAGATCAGAAGGAAACTGTAACATTTATTACAAGCTCGTTAGGAACGCATTATACATTTTATGAATCAATAACTCTCTGGTGTTTATAAGAGAGGAAGAGCCAATCCTTAATATTACGGTGAACTACACTTGGAGAGCCTATAAGGCTTGTCACTGAACTACTCACGTCTACATTCCGTTGCTGTTGACTGAAAACTGCACTGCACAGTTTCCCACCAACTACAGCTCTTCTTTCATATTAAGCTGTTTAGCCAAGCTGTCTGGCAATCAACCTAACTACGAAGAAGAGGAAACCGAACTAGTGAGATCTGAAAGAGAACGGGACTAGCAGGACTAGAGGTGAAAGTACGACAATAAAACAACTTGAACTATCCTACATACTAATATCTAGTCCTGACAGATACACATTCGGCTAATCTAGAGAAGAAGTAAACAACAAGATGCTGACTACAACCACAATGATTCCCAGATATTTGCAAAATCCGGGACCCCAGATGAACTTCGAACGCGAGATAACCTTCTACAGAGGCCTACATGTTAGCCATTGCACTACCTTGGCCCTCTGCCTTTCTCACAGCCAGCTTTGCTTCACCTAGGGTTCCGAGTTTTGCAAATAGCTTAGCATCACTGTGGTTGCATTCCACATCACACCTTGCTATAAAGAAAAAATAGACAGTAAATAAAGGTTAAACAATGTCTTAACTATGTAATCACCTATTTACTGCCTATTCTTTTTTCATGGCAGGATATTATGTGAAATACAACAACAGTGATGCCGAGATATTTGCAAAACTCCGGACCGTAGGTGTCTTCTGAGAGCAGCGAACCTCGTTATTACCCTTTCTAGGCGGGAATATCTTGCCTACTTTAGCAGCATCGCAAATTCACACAAACAGACACTAGCGTTATTCAAGAATCGTTTCCCTTTATACCTTGAAATTTCTGGGTGCAATGAGATAAAATTGCGATAAGTAGTGGATTCTACTACCTAACACTTTCCTCACAATATTTGTAGAAGTTGTCATGTTACAATTAGTTGCTTAATCTTCAGTAATTGATTATACATAACGGCGCAACTCACATAGTGACTCATGACTGCAGTATTGGAACTGAATCAAATCAACTAAGCAGTTCCTCATTACAAAAATTGAAAAGGTAAACAATCTCTTCGAAACTAATTTTATCAATAAAAAACAACTAACAAATGGAATTCTGAGTACAAATACATGCCATTCTATGAATGCGAGACACGTTCTATGAACTAATAGACTAGGAAGCATGGCAGCTATGTACTGCAATAGAAAAAGGTAACACACCAGCATTAAGGGCATTTCGAGCAACAGTTGACTGAAAGTGGCTCAGTGATATCTATGACGGGTTTTGGCGACACTGTTCTAAAGCCGCAAATGGGCAATTTGGGACTGAAAAATGGTGAGCTGAAAAAAATGGAACGCCAAAGACCGATAGAAAGAATTTAGACGAGACTTTACATTATAAAAGTACTAATAACCACACAGAAAACAATCGTACTGACAATTTCTAAATAAGCAAAATGTAGACCGCTTTGAAATTATAACTGAACAGGAAGCACTCTATCGTGTATAAATTCCTCAAAATCAGCACACGTACGTACTTCAGGATAGCATTTTAGGATGAGAGGATGCTTTAAAACCTAACCTGTATATCAACAGTAAACAAATTCCGTTGTCCTTTGAATGGAATATTTTAATTAAACTGACTTCATGGAGTGAGAATGAAGAGGAAGTTGGTAACAAGAATAATCGACTTAGTAGACTGATGCTTCGAATAGACTCATCCAAGGAACAAGGTAACATTGCACTTATATTGCAGCACTAAGCGCCGAAAAAAACATGACGAACTGCAGGGATACCAGTCAGGTCAATGTAAAGCTAACAAAGAGGAAGGATACATATATACGAACACATACACAAATACCTCCCTAAGCCGTTTCGACCAGAACACGTTTTGCCGCTTCGTCTTGATCAGAAGGTGGAAACCAGTGACGAATACAATATTCGATAAGATAGGCAAGAAGAATATAAGCCGCAGTGAGCACGCAGAGCACAATCAGAAACTTCAGAACAACCACTGGGAAGATCGACCTCTCGACAATGACACTACAGAGAGGAAGCTGAAAGTCAAATATACCAGAAAATGGCAAAATTTAACAATCTAGGCAAAGGTTATTCTCCATTTGCATTCATAAAATCTTCTCGTTACAATTTCATAACCAGAATTACTCTAGTAAATTCCTAACTCCAATAAATTAGTTCTGAAAGTTGATCCCATTAAGGACTCGATGACTTCTTGTATTAAGGACCTATATGGTCACAAAACATAATAGGAATAAGGCCAATAACACAAAAGCGATAAGGGAATTTTTCTGAAAAACTGATTCTACGAATTTCAGAACAACAAATCCAAAAATGGCTTACCGATTCCTTGGGAACAACTGAGCATTTTAGCTCATCCATCAGTCCATTAGTAGGGACAAGACGAGAAGCGGCTCGGAGTGATGGTTCTACATAGGTAGTCAGATTCAGCGCAATCATCATACGGGCGCCTAGCAGGAATGGTAGCGAAAGAAATGCCACCGTATCCACCACACAGACCTGAATTAAGACATGTATTTCACTTACAGTATAAAGTCTCATATTGTTGCTGGTGGAGATGTGGTGATCTCACTCACAACGGTTTACCGCCTCATCGTGGCTGGGAAGTGTTCCTGGCTGATGGGCTCCGATGTACAGTGGGAGGATTAATCCCTCCAGCAGGGTTTCCCAAGCTGAGAAAGAGTCCGGTGTTTCCAACTGTCCCTCCCCTTTAAGCGAGCAATAAGCTTATAGCGATGTGTAACCTCATCATCATGGCTTCATCAATACTTGCACACTTGGATGGCCCGTCTCCACTGGTTATGCGCTCCCAGCATAATTTCCACTACTGGGAGTCTTCGTGGTTTAGCCATTGTGGTCCACGGATCGCCCTGATATGAGGAGATCCCGAGCCGATTAGTCGTTAGTTTACGTGGTGCGTCTCCAGGTGGCGGATTGGGGGTTAATCGCGGACCAAAAGCGACCTTTGCTACTCTGAGACGCAGATGGATCGAGGGAATGGACTCCCTGTTTCTGTTGCGTTTATTTCGCACATAATTTCTGTATCTACGAGGCGTATTTATGCACGGGTGTGTGGGTACGTTCTTGCTTATGCGGATTGTATTCTACGACTCAATTCGGCCAAAAGCCTGCAATCAAGTGACTGAGAAGTACATGGGAGGCGGCAAAGGGGTCGCCTCCAACAAATAAGCTCCATGTCTACTCTGGGAGAACTTGGCAAGCTACCCGTGAGTATATCCACCCCCACGTTCAGAGCCCAGAAAGCTATACGTGGGTATCAAAAACGCTAAACACAGTGAAAAAAAAAACAGGCCTCATTCCCCTGACCCGAAAGAGCCCCAATTTCGCAGTGTTGTGTAAGACGAGTACGGAGAGGCTGCTAAAATCTCAGGGCCAATGGAAGCCGGCTGGATTTGAAAGAACTATGGTGAGGATTTGCACCTACAATGCACGTACACATGTTTCCGAGTTTTCGATAGAAGACTTGCTCATGCAAGCAAGAAGGATAAGGCACGACGTCATCGAACTAGCCGAGACGAGAAGACGCCAGCCTTTCAACGCCGTCTATGACACCGGAGAACCGTTCCTCGGAACATGCGAAAGTAGAGGAGTCGGCGGCGCCGATGTTCTCGTCAACACGAGTTTGTCTATGAACATCAAGTCATTCGAACAACTTACAATCCGAATCGGAAGCTTACGATTAAGAAGACGTGGATCAATTCCGGCTATGACAAACTTCGTCGTTTACGCCCCGACATCAAACTATGACGAAGAAGAAGTCGAAGCGTTCTAAATCGGTTTGAAGAAGTTCTACAGAGAAGACCACACGTTCTTTAAGGTCATCATCGGAGATTTCAACTCCAAGATTGAACCAAGAAGAACGTCTGAAAAACCTCACATTGGGACACACGAATTAGAATGGAACGAACAGGGTGAGCGGCTATCTGAGTTTATCATGGCGACCAAGACAATCTATGGTAACTCGCAATTCCAAAAGCACCACTCTCAGCGCTGGACGTGGGAGTCTCCTAATGGAGTACCATAAGGAAAGAGACCACATCATAGTAAATAGAAGGTTTTGCCCAACCGATGTCGCTGTTGTCCCAAAATCATACACGGGATTAGACCACCGTCTCCTTCGCGCAAGGTTCTATATGTCGCTGAAAGGAGAAAAAGCCGCTAAATTCAAAAACAGATGCCCCACAACCACCATAAATTGGGACTTGTTCAATTCGTTAGTCGGCTGTTGGGAAGATGCTGTTTCCTATAATATCGACAACGAATACGATCGGCTCATTCAACATCTACACGTTAGCGCTATGAAAGCTGAAAGTCCGAAAGTCAGCAAGAGACGTCTGTCTCCAGAAACACTCGAGTTGATACGCCAGTGTGGAGTCGCACGAGCTGCAGGCAACCGCGAACTAACGTCCGAATTTGCAAAACAACGCAGACAGGTGATAAAAGAAGACCTTAAAAAGAGAAGAGAAGCAGTAATGGTCGAAGCTGCATAGGTTGGGAAAAGCATTCGCAAAGACCACCGAAGCCTCGCCAGTTACAAGACCAAAATGATTGCACTCCGGCGCCCAGACGGAACGGTTAAAGCGTCCAGAAACACAATGGAGAAAATCGTTCAAGAATACTACTTGGTTCCCTTCGATAGCCACGTCCACCTTCCGTCATATGAAATAAAGGAGGATGGATATGTTGTACCACCGGTTCATCCTTCCAAAATCCACGCCATTCCGTCGCTGAAAAATCTAACCCAGGTCTGGACAGGATAAGATCAGAACACCTGAAAAACCTTCCGCCAGTCCTCGTAAACGCACTGGCTCAGTTCTTTACACGTTACCTGTAATGCAAGGTCCCTACTTAATGGAAGCCCAGCAAAACCGCGTTATTGTTCAAGAAGGGTGACCTACACGATATCGGGAACTATCGCCCAATCTGCCTGCTGTCTGTCGTCTACAAACTTTTCACTCGAGTCGTCCTAAACAGGATTGACATAACACTGGACGAAGGACAGCGCCATGTGAGCAAGCAGGGTTTCGAAAGGAATTCAGGACGATGGACGACATCCACACGATAACAAAACTCATTGAAGTATCGTGAGAGTACAAAAGACCGTTCTGTCTCACTTTCATCGAGTTGCGGAAGGTCATTGACTCAAATGAGATAGAAGCAGTCATGGAAGCACTTGATAGACAAAGAATCACTACTCAGCATATAAAGATTCTTCAAGAGCTTTATAAAAATTTCGCAACCAAAATATCACCATTCTACAACGATATTAACATCGACGTCAGAAGAGGGGTTAGGCAAGGTGACACTATCTTGTCGAAATCATTTACCGCCACCCTCGACAACGTCATGTGAACATTGGAATGGGACAATACGGAAGTGAAAATCGATGGTCGGAAATTACACCATTTTTGCTTTGCTGGTGATATCGTCCTTATAACACCAAACATTAGTCAAGCGAAGCGGATGCTTGCCGACTTTGGTAAAGCCTGTGGAAGGATTGGTCTTCGATTAAATCTCACAAAAACGATGTTCATGAGGAACGGATTGGTTTCGTATGCACCATTCACGCTCAACGGAACAAGTCGGTAAATCAACACATTGAATGACTTAGCTCGAGAGCTGAGCAGAACGAAACGAGCGGCTTGGGGAGCTTTCAAGAGCATCGAGAATGTAGTAAAGAGGAGAAAGAACACCCGACTTGTGCCCACCTTTGCGACTCAACGGTACTTCGTGCGTTAACGTATGCATTAGAAACCTGTTGCCTCGTAAACAGGATGAAAAAAAACTCAGCGTTATTGAACGCGCAGTCGAAAGGACGATGCTAGGAGTATTCCGTTTCACATAAGTAAGGGAAAGGATCTGAAGCCCCGATCTGCGTCAACGGTCAAAAATCAAAGGTGCCGTTCCGTACGCCAAACAGTCGAAGATAAAGTGGGCGAGGACACGTAGTGCGTGTGAATGACAACCGATGGACAAGAGCCGTTAGTGACTGGATTCCTCGGGATGTTAAACGCACTACAGGAAGACCACCGACTCGATGGCAAGAGTTCTTCTCCAAAAGACTAGAAGAAAGATATGATGCTCGACGAGCCCCTAGAGCATGCAGAACCCACTGGGGTACTCTTGCACGCGATAGGGAAAAACGGAGGATTTACTGACGCCCGCACGAGTCACTCGACGATCAACGGGACTACAGGTAATACAGGTGACAGCCATTGTGGTTCACTGGAGTACCGAGATGAGCCTAGCCAAAGTCTGCCTCAGGTCGCCACCCTTGTGGATCATAAGGCCTTTTCCCACCATGCGCCCAGCTTGGAACCAGAGTGGATCCTGGTATTTGTTTACCCTTAGATGGGTTTCCTGAGGGAAACGCTGGACTCCCTCTCAGCTAGAGAGACCCTGCTGGTGGGATGAATCTCCAGCTATACATCGCAGTCCGACACCCAGAAAGACTTCCGAGTCACGATGAGGCAGTAAACCGTTGGGAAGTTTTATCAATAACTTAGGAAAATATTGTATTTGTTAAGAAAAGCCGAAGTTTCATAAAAAGAGACCAATAAGTATGACGTCACCACGGTTTTTGTTAGTCTGTTCATGTTAGGCCAATAGATGTTGTAAAAGAGCACAATGATGGCACTTGTCGATAGCGACGCACACATCGCACTCACAGTCATCCATAGGTTTTTCTTATACTGAAATTAAGAGGATGAATAGAATAAATTCCAAAACAAACTAAAATCAAAAACTGAAAACGCCATAACTACACACGAAGTAATGGCAAAATGAGAGCACCTACTATCTTGACATGAAACGGAACACCTAAATTGAAACTGACTTAATCTAAAGAAAACTAATCGGTGGGTGACAACAGCGAAAATGAAGAAAAGGGGTCGCAATTCTTCTTTTGCAAACTTACATGTTAATGAGGTCTCATGGCTCAAATAATAGCATGTTAAAATCAATAAAGGGATGAAGCTCCCGGCATCGATAAATCTCTGAGTGACGCGCCATGCATCCGACTTTAGCACTGTTGGAGGTGACTGAATGCACATGTGGCCTTTACAATGAGTCGCTGTGGCCTACCGATGTATCGAGCCAGGGCTGCTATCCTCCCAAACAAGTTTAGTACCAATCCGCCGAGTCCGGAGAGATAGAGGGCTTGGTGAGCCTTGGGCGCGGAGATGGATCCTATTTGTATAGCAAAGCGACTCCGACCACTGCGCTATACGCACCCTTACAAGCATGCCAAGTAGCAATGTTTTAGTGTCCATACCTGGCCAAAAATATGGACACTAAAACATTGCTACCATACCAATCGGTCACAATTTTTCTTTACGTATTTTAGAAAGTTTGCCGTCCAGAACTTTACCAAAGACCTTTTCAAACATTGAAATAAACATAACACCTATGAAAACTTCATCCTTTTGCTTAGCTTGCTGGTCACTTTTAAAACTGATGTGAAGAACTACCTTGAAAAAAATGAATGTAGTTGAAAAATACAGACTAATACTCACATCAATGAATGTCATCATTACCAACCGCACCAGATTAATGTCGTCGCGATTCTCGACATCCGATGACGTTCGAAATTCCACCTTTATAAAAGAAAATCATTTCGAAGGATAGAAATGTACAAGAAAAAAGCATATGAGCTGAAAGTAGGAGAAGATACAAAGCACAATAAAAGGATAAAGGATAACGCTCTCAGAATTCGATTTCAATAAGCACCCTTGGAGGTGAATGAATACATATCTGGCCTTTACAATGACTCGTGGTGGCCTACCGATCTATCGAGCCAGCGCTGCTATCCTCTCAGACAAGTCTGGTATCAATTTGCCCAACCCGGAGGGATGGATGGCTTAGTGAGTCTAGGAAGCAAGGACCGATCCCATGGGTATTGCAGGGCAACTCCGACCGCTGCGCTACACGCGCCCTTCATAATAAAATAACAAAAAAAGCATGTTAGTAAGCCAAATTACCTCATTAGCTAGCGACTCGTATGAACGAAATGCCGAAAGAAACTCGCAAGCATAAGCAAGATGCAGTGCGGCTATCACGAACAGCACCATCATTTTCAGATGATGTGGGTAGAATTGATCGATCTGAAAGTAAGCACTAAAAAAGTACTGATGTACGACAGATGGTAGAAGATGAATTACTGGGTTTTGGACTTTAAGATTCTAATCCATCTATCTCTGTGCTCCTAGTCAAATACAAAATTATAACTTTTTGGACATAAAGTCGAGACCAGGGTTTCATTTCTGGAACAGCTCACAAATGTATCTTTGTGATGTGGATAATTAAACCAACAAATAAAACATCAATACCTACTTTGATAGTTCGATGGCACTTCATCACTGGTTGTGCGGGCCCCAGCATAATTCCCATTTTTTCGGTGTATTGCTGGTTCAGACATTGTTTCCCTGCAGTCCCGAGGTCAATCTGATCAAAGTCTGCCCCAGGTCGACACAATCACAAGTAGTCGCAGTCCTTGTGGATCAGAGAGAGATTTGCCACCATGCAACTAGTTTGATACTAGGGTGGTGGATCCTGGTATTGGTTTACTCTTAGCTGAGCTCCCTGATGGAAACGTCGGAATTCTTTTCAGCTTAGGAGGCTCTGCTGGGATGATGAATCCCTCCACTGTACATCTCAGCACTATACCCAGGAACACCACGCAACTACGATGAGGTGGTAAACCGTTGGGAGGGAAGGAAAACCACCAATAATTAGTTAAGACTTACAAAAATATTGAGAGATTCTCTCCATGAACGATTCCAAAACATGAAGCGACGTCGACTTGTAGGCTGATCGCTGCTCGATCCACCGCCGTTGGTATCCTTGGTTCCGACCGCGTCGAGCAATGCAGCCGAAAGTGAAGGCATCTGAAAATCGGGAGAATCTGCAAAATCCATCAGAAGAATAAACGTGAGACAAAATTTTCAAGCGTTGTGACACAAAACAGAAATAGTAATTCGAACGATTCGTCCATAGAAACAACCAACAGAACGCACAGCCTCAGTTTAACTTCGTTCAGTGCCGATTTGTGCATCCCAGACCAATCCCGCTGATGTGTGATTGTTAATGGCACTAGCAGATAGAAAAATAGCCGAGAAAAAGGCTAAATGAAGGATCTTCACGATGTGGGCGTGCCCCTCCAAAGCCCCCGGAAAGGGAATGGCGGGTTCAATCCCCACCGCAGACACCTGAGGTCCGGAGTTTTGCAAATATCTCAACATCATTGTGTTTGCATTTCACGATAGAATGTAATAACTGGTAACGACCAGCAACTGGTAAAATTTTTCACAAAAAAACTTCGAAGTTCGCAGTTCACTTAGTATTTACGCCAAATCATTCCTCTACAAATTCAAAAAGAAAAATGAAAAAGAAATAGAAATGGGTCCTCCTTATTACCGCGCTATGTTCACCACAAACGGTTTAGCCTGTTCCCTTCGTTTGATGAAATCGTCTTGATACAAAGATATGTTTCGCCAAAACCAAGTTGTCTACCAAAAAAAAAATCTCTGGCTGAATGCTGATGGGATTACAAGTGCAATGAGTAAGGATCGATGGAGTATTGATCGATGGCGAGGTAACTTCAGAACCTGATCGATCAATCATGTGTCATCACGAGCTGGCATTTAGGTCAACGAACGAACGAGAACATATCGAACGATGTAAAGGACGTAAAAGGCGTAAAGGATGTTAATGAGCAGCAATGATGAATTGAAGACATTCGACAATCTCGAATGTAGGAAATGTATAGGATAGACGATAAAGAATTCGGTGTCGAACAATCCTTGACCGATGCGCCACGCATTCGACTTCATTCGTAGCGTCGTAGAGATAATTGACGGCATATATGGACTGTACAGTGTAGCTTGGAGTAGCCTATCAATGCATAAAGTTAGTGCTTCTATCCTTCTAAACAAGTATGGAACCAAGCTCTCCTACGATATGGAAGGATTTGATTGCCCGAAGTACATAATCCACCCAACGACCTCGTGTATTCTACAAGGTATTTCTAACCCCTGCGCTACAAGACTTCCACTGCAAACATGTTGTAATACTATCTACTATGATCCCCTAGAAAGAAAATGGAAACAGTTTCGTTCAAGTAGTAAAACTGTAAGAACTGTTTTGCATAGATATATATCAATATCATGGCAGAAATTGTCCTTGGAGCACACTAACTGAATGGGATGGAGTTTTCGAATAATAACGCTTACGATTGAAAAAGCTATGCTGTAAACACTGTGGTTTTCCTAAGAATCTTTATTTTCAGATTTTGAGAGAATAAAATGCATTGAATGAGTTGGGAGAAATGCGAATCGAAGAACCCGCATGACGTGGTGGTGAACGCTTCAACTCCCGGAAAGGGTAACAGCGTGTTCGATCTCCACCGCAGACACTTGCAGTCCGAAGTTTTGCAAATAAGCCAGCATCATTACATTCCCTAAAGTAACCAATTATCGATCACTTTACGCTAGCTTTGCTTAGCGGATCTAACAGATGTAGCAAACCAATCGCAGCTAAACGATAAGATTCTCAGATATCAGATTACTTTAAGTACGCCTATCCATTTCGACTATCGCTCTTTTCTTTTCAGATATCTCTACAGAGATCACAAGTGATTAATTTGCACGATTCAAAACCATTTATTCCGCGTCTGCTGGCAATTTAAGCGCGCATGTGGCGCAGTGGTTGGAGGCGCCACTACGACACACACGTGGAATCCGGGGTCGGCAAATTGGTACCAGACTTGTCTGGGAGGATAGCAGCACTGGCTTGATACATCGGCGGACCACTGCGAGTCATTGTAAAGGCCAAATATGCATTCAATCACCTCCAACGATACTTAATGAAGTTGAATGCATGGCGCATGCCTCAGGGATTGATCAACGCCGAGACCTTTTTATCCTTTTATCCTGGCAACTCATCTAATCGATTCGTTCCCTCATCCACGAATTTACTTGAAGGTTCAGTTGGTGCTTTTAGCCTTCATTTTGGTCATCTTTACGAATATCGTTGAAAGGTAGTCGAGCGGACCTTCCGATAGCTATGTTAGGGTGCTCCGAAATGCGGTTGACGACCCCTGCAGATAGGAAGGAACTCTTTGCAGACAAGTCTGGCACCAATTTACCAACCGCAGAGTGATGAGGAGCTTTGTAGAACGACGTCGGGGTCAATCGTGAAATTGCATACAAATTGATATTGATATCCAGCGGTTTCTTATGGCACTGCACAGTAGTCCGTCTATAACATTCTGATCATGATTACTTGTCAACGAGTACCAAGTTGTATGTAATCATTATTATGGCAGCTGATGGATAAAAAGAATAAACCTCTTGACGTTGATCAATCGCTGAAGGATACGCCATGAATTCGACTTCATCAAGCATCATTAGAGGTGACTGAATGCATATCTGGGCTTTGTAGTGACTTGCGATGGCCTACCGTTGCATCCAATCAGTGCTGCTATCCTCCCAGAGAAGTTTAGTATCAATGTGCCGATTTCGGTGAAATGGAGGACTTGGTAAGCTGAGACGCGTGGTCGGTTCCATGTGTATTGCAGGTTACTTCTAAGCTCTCTTCTAGAGGCGCCCCAATGTAAGTGATAGATCCAGGCGCAAATGTGTCCCTTTTCATTGCAAGCTCTATACAGGACAGAGGACGTTTTTCTCTCTACAACAGCGGCTTTTTTAGACTTTGATATTCGAAGGTCTGAAATTTCGAAGAGAAACCTGGTGCAACAGCGAACGGTTAGACATGTGAGTTACTCGAATTCGGTCAAGGGTGGCAATTATTCCTCTTTTCTAGCCAGCACTCCTGTTATCTTTTCCTTTCTCGCCAACTCTTTGGTTGGCCTCAAACAGAGCGTTCCGTCCTCCAGTTTCTTTTTTCTTGCGTTTTTCGCACAACGTGTCCATTTCTCAAACAGCGGACTCCGAAAAAGCCTAGAGAATCGTTCCAGTATTGAATAAATTTGTGTTCCCCGCCGAAATAAGAGTTCTTGAGTCATCAATATTTTTAAATTTTCTAATTTCTCAGTACTTTTCACATGGTCCGTTTCAAAATGCAGCAATTTGACGCATTCGTTTCGCAAAAAGTGTCTGAGAAAGACGGAATTTATACTAGTTGGCAGTCAGACTGCATTAAGGAGGCAATTATTGTAATTGTTTAAGATCCAAATTGTCAAATCCTCGTCACATGTTCAGGAGTTCGCGGGAAGCGCAATGGTGCAGATGCCGTTCAACAGCACGTGCAAAGTCGTTAGTTCGATCCTCCATCAGGCTGACCGCATCTCTCCGGTGTCAGAAAATGCTTCCACACTCATTTGCGAAAATCTTCCACTGACCCACAAATAGTGGTGAGTGTATCGCAAAGACATAAGAACGCCACTGCTCGACTATACCAGTATTCAAGGGAAGATCAAGTTGACCAGTACTCAAGGGCGTTCCGGATGAGCACCAAAAATCCTCAAGTAGCAGTGAAAATCAGAAGGAAATGAGAAGATCTTCGTGAATGATGGACGCTGATTCACACATTTGGCGCCGGATCATGTAAAAAAAATTCACTACAATTCAGTTATAGCGAACTCTCCAGTATCCATCGAACTACGGAATTTCTTCGAAGAATAAATTGGAAACAACTGAATACTCACTGAATACTCAACAAGACCTCTTATTTATTTCTGACGTTAATTTTTGCTGAATTATGA